CTCCAGAGATCTTAATGTTCCTGTGACCACTGTGCACAACATTGTCAAGACGTTCACAGCCCATGGCACTGTAGCTAATATCCCTGGACGTGGATGAAAGAGAACAATTGATCAAATATTATCACTGAAAATGACAGAAAATCCCAAATTTTGGGTTGTCATCAGAAAAGGAATAGATGGGAAATCTTCCAATGGTGACATTAGTTCCGGTGGTCCTGCTGACCACCAGGGATATCCCTGTCTTTGGAGGGATTTCCTTTCGTTTCCTGTTGTGGCTATGAGACAGTAAGTGAAGGGAAATCTCCCCAATGGGACACAGATGGCAAAAAATGCCAATGAGTTATAACCTTCCTCTACTCTACTATTGGGGACTTTCGCCAATCTCACTCTGTATTTAGTTATTTAGCATAAAATGCCTTGCTATGAGTTCTACATTTTTATGTATGGAGCGCCAGATATAACTCCATATATATTATAGTGTATAGATGTTCATGTAACACAGAAAAGAACTCCAGTGAATAGTAATCTGTAGTAATAAGGAAGAAATAAAAGAGACGGCCATACATCAATCAACAACTGGTAAAACCCCATGGCTGAGCAACATTATAATTTTTCCAGTTAAATGTAATAAACCTCCTTTATGTGTTTGTTATGTGTTGTCATTCACACATCATACCCAAAAATAATTTTAAGAAAATTACCTTTTAGATGGTTATTTGGCGCAGACCTTTGGGCAGACAGCAAGCTATTCTGTACAATTTCAAAGCGAATCTGTCCCCAGGATAAAGTGAGGGCAGATTGTGTTTCCCCTCATCAACATATAATGCTTCTAGGTCCTTAACCCTTTGTTAGGACATGTGCAAATCTAGTTTACATTTGATAATGAGATCTGCCAGCACAGTACAGACAAGGTTAATGATGGTAACCATTAACCTTGCACCTCACTTGCATAGCAGAGAAAAAATAGGTTTTTAACCCTTTCGCTGCCACCGACGTAAGGCGTATATACAGGGCCTACAAATTTAGTATCACCATCTTTTTATTCTACCGGGCACGCACTTTCAGAAAATATATGGTTTGGTTTTTTTTTTACAAACGCTAGCAACCCAGCAGTTGAAAATCAAATCAATAGGAAAAGATTGCAAAAAATGCAAAAATGGCTTGGCCAGCTGATTTGAAAAATGTTCCGGAGGGCTTGGCAGCAAAAGGGTTAAAAGAAAAGTAATATGTAAGCTACACTTTTTTTTATTAGTTATGCTATGTAAATGATAACATGTAACAATTATAAAGTAATTGTTTTCCCAATGTGGCTTCTATAGTGGAAATACAGTTTTTTTTCTACTTTCCTCACCACTTTTTTAAGAAGCCTTTAGGGCCCTTAACACCAGAAGCGTTGGGGCTGTGCTAGTCATTTTTTCCAGTGCAGCCCGAACGCAAGACAGGGCAATATGTCTTGTCATGGATGGACACCATTTATACCACCGCATTGCGGTGGTGTGTGCTGGAAAAAAAGTACGGCATGCAGTACTTTCAGCGCAGCAGGATGCAAAAATAATACCCTTGCATTGGGGCCGTCCCTGCACTGCAAGGATTAAAGGAGAATTATGGGGAGAGTAAAATATACTCATCCCAATAGTTAGAGCCAACATGTGACTCTGCAACTGTCACACGTCAGCTCTATAGATCAAGAAGTAAGTGATCACATACTGCTGATCACCCAGTTCACGATCTTCTCCCTGCAGAGAGTGGTGACTGTCAGTTACTGCTCTTTGCAGGGATTCCCCTTCCCTCTTTGTTCTTCCAGCACTGACTGAAGGGACGGACGGTGAGGGGGCAGGAAAAGCTGGTTCTGCCCCTAGAGAGGCAGAGCCAGCTGTCAATCAGATAGCAGGGTGGATCCCGACAATATTGGCTGGATCCTTCTCGGCTGTAGAGCGGCTCTGCACTGTCAGCATATAGCGAGCAATGGCCTGCTATATGCTGAGTTTAGGGTCACAGGAGGACATTAATAAGAGAGAGCTCACATGTTCTGCAGCCTGGGGAGCAGACAGGGTTGAATCTGCTGGAGGTAAAGGTTTATGATACCTTAGAAAGCTGTGCCTTTTGAGACTGACAAACTCTAAGCTTGTTCAGTCTTTTAGTGAGGACTGTTGATGTAGTTAGTTAGTTAGTGCTGGGAAACGGCCATGTTTTTTAGGAAGTTTTGTTTGTTTAGAGCACTGTACAACACCTTTGTATATAGTTGTAAATAGCACCAATAAACGTGCCACCGCTTAACATAAGCCACTGGACTGGTCTCTGGTCCTAAAAAGGCTCTTAACCTCGGGGAGCATTGTACCCTCTACCTGTCCCCTATTCACACTTTATTTATATACACACATTATATCAATATACAGAAAAATAATAGCTGAATGTCTGTGCTGAAGGATATTGCATAATCAGTGCTGTTTTCATGTTTATAAGTATGTCAGTAGTTTTAGCATCACTGTTCTCTAATTATATCATATCTAGGGCAGTACACCTGCAACAATTACAGTGTTGTCTCATCTATAAAATATGTTATCACATTCAATGTAACCTGTATTTCCACTACAGTTCTTAATTGCTCAAGGCTATTTGCATTTACAAACTACAGTATATTTCAGGAGGGTTGCTAGCAAGCGGAATCACCTATGACTTCTATCTCCTATTGCTGGACTGACTATCCCTACCCAGATTTCAAATTCTGCGCAACTGCTGCTATCATTAAAAACCCCAAAAATGTTTCAACTGCAATTCGCCCAATCTGTTTTTGATGTATACTGGGTTAACATCCATCAATACACCAACAATTATCACTGTCAGATTTTTTTCTTTGTTAAAGTGACACTAAACTCACAAGATAAATCTTAAAAATGCATTCAAGTACCTAAACTATTAACAATACTGTAACTTATTTGTGTATCACTCAGCTGTAAATCCTCAAATCATCTCTGAATTGGTGCTGACACTGTCCGTCCTTCTGGAGGGTGGCCACTTTTGTTCTCCATGATCCCTGTATGTGTTGTAAAATAGCCACCGCTCCTGTGATAGACTGTAACTTAAATACAAATTAGCTAAATAAACCTGGGATTGTAGTCCATCACAGGAGTGAGCTTAGAGCAGACTCTACTTTACAGCACACACATGGAGGGACCACGGAGAACAAAAGTAGCCACCCTCCAGAAGGAAGGACAGTGTCAGCACCAATTCAGAGATGATTTCAGGATCTCCAGCTGAGTGATACACAAACAAGCTACAATTGTGTTAATAGTTAAGGTACTTGAATGCATTTTTAAGATGTAACTATTGGGTTTAGTGTCACTTCAACATTTACATATGCAGGCACACACAAAAAAAAAGCCAAAATCACCACCTGACTCTTCCACACTATCAGTGCTTCTGGCTGTGGACCCTGAATACTTGTAGCCAGAAAGTTCTAAGTGAATGAATTTAACAAATAACTGTGATAGCATGGGAACTGGATCGTGAATTTCCCAGATTCCCACAAATGAGCTAATACTACTCACTGTTGTCTATTGGAAATAACCCTTGGCAAGAATTCTGAACATTTAGGATATCCAGTGGATGGAACTATTTTAATGATTTAATAGAAAGTGGATAGAAAGATTTTAATGAAATAGTGAGCAAGGATAGGTGTTTTTACTTTATTTCAAGTTTTCAAAAAAGTTTACTAGGAAGTGTCTAGCAGCTTACACAGATAAAGAGGTTGTACATAAGCCCCTACTTGATTCACTCACAAACTCCTAAAGCACTGGCTGCACAGAAGAACCTGACTCCTGGTCAAATGATGCTTCCTGAGGGTATCACATTTTCTTCACTCCATTCGGGCTTATGCAGAAAACCTGGCTCCTGGTCAAATGATGCTCCCTGAGGGTATCACATGTTCATCACTCCATTCAGGCTTATGCAGAGAATCTGGCTCCTGGTCAAATAATGCCATCTGAGGACATCACATCTTTTTCACTCCTTTCAGGCTTATGTAAAGAAACTGGCTGTTGGTCAAAGTATGATCCCTGAGGGTATCTATCACGTAGCTGACTGGAAACTCAGATGAGTAGGGGGCTGCCCGTGCACCTCTTCTCCCACCCCCTGAGTCTATCACATCTTCTTGATTCTGTTCAGGCTTATAAAAAGTAGTGTGATGCACTACAATGCAAATTAAAGCTAAGACATTTAAGGGTTTCTTTTTTAGGCTCTTCTATGCACCATAAGTTCCTCCTATAAAAAGTAATCCATGCACAGGGATTTTCTTTTTACATGATTGGATAATCGGAGTGAATCTTCAAACAAAATATCAGTGAACATTTTTAAATCCTTCAGTAAATCAACCTCAATGGCTTTTGTCATTAGGGTCTACTTCAGGGGAAGGCAACCATGGCACTCCAAATGTGGTAAGACTACAAATCCCATTATGTCTTTGGGAGTTATGTCTTTGGATGTCAGAGTCTTGCAATGCCTCATGGGGCTTGTAGTTCTACAACTGCTGGATTGCCAAGGTTGCCTACCCCTGGTCTACAAACTTGCAGGTAGGACATTCACTTTTTTCCACTTAATTAAAAAAAAAAAAACAACCCAGAACTCATGTTTATATTTCCCAGGCTTTGGGGCTATCCCAGATGGCCCGCTATTTGTCAATTTCAGCAGAACAGTAGAAGGCAAGACAGAAAAAAATTACTAAAACTCTGGCAACGTATGTAACTGACTCAGAGAAGATTGTTCTTCTTGGTGTTACACTTTAAGTACAGACATGCCCCTACTGACCTTTCTTGCAAAAAAGCCTGTGTCTTAAAATAAAGCAATTCTATACACTAGTCTGCATTTCCTTTATTTCTGTTGGTCTTTCCATGTAAATAAACTTGCCCAACCTGCTGCTACTATCATATTGATTTATATTTCAACAAACAGGTTCCACTGGTCTTCGTGCTATAACTATTGTTGTAACCTATTTTACCTGACTAGTTGGATAAGGACAAGCCAGTCTGTAGAGCTTCATGGTATGTTACCTCTTTTTCTTTATTATATCTTATTTTTCTAGCACAGAAACATAATCAGATTAATAGCATATATATACACGATAGGTAAACATAGAAGACAAGGAGTTTAGCAGTTTAGCTGAGCTGAGTACAACTATGATATTTTGGCTGCTCCACTAGTTTTTATTTTTGTGAAAAAACATTTCTTTGTTTAGTAATGACTGCAAAACAGCAAAAAGGGTATTTTAATAGTTTTAGACAGAGTGGGGAAAAGTTAGAACATCTGTCAAGTGTTTATTGCTGTTTGCGTCCCCACTGGGGACATTTTCTCTTGATATTTCCTCTAATGAAGCGAGGATAAGAAAAGAGAGAAATAGGTGTCACAGGGACAGGAAGACACTCATGGAAACATCCTGACAGAGGATCTAACCTTTCCCCACTCTAATAAACAAAAAATGTTTAGTTGCTGTCTGTCTTCCCATTCAAGAAATTTCCTATCACTTCCAGCCCCATCTTCCCATCTGGGACACAGCAATAAAAACCTTGCAGACACTCTAACCATTCCCCACTCCATGAAGAAATAACTAGCTGATATGTTAAAAATGATAAGGTCAAATTAATTGTTATTACTATGATTATATATCTAACAATATAGTGCCTTTAGATGACAACTCAAACTTCTTAATAGATACATAATTGTGATTGGTACAGTGGCGGGGGGTATAGTAAAGCTGGCCACACACAGCTCAAATTTTGGCCAATTTCTGCTGAATTGGCTGTAATTTGGGCCGTGTGTGGCCCATGTCGATGGCTGGACAGTAGTTGATTTTTCAATTAACTTTTGCCGAATATGCTGGGGGGAAAATTGACTGCCGAACAGTGACTGTATCCTATCAGATGCAGTGACTGTTTGGGTATTTAGCAGCCTGGCAGGGTAGATGCCACCATCTGTGCTGAACTAGAGAAATCTTAGGATGTATAGCTAACTTACACCAAGTGCTTGGCTTATATTACTATGTATCCAGTGGAGGAACTACTGCCATAGCTGCCCACGTAGCCGCTATGGGGCCCGGGACAGAGTGGGGCCTGGTCAGCAACAGGAGTGATGCTGATGCAGGAATGGAACTTGTCAAGTACAAGTGATCTGGGTCGCTGTGCAGCCACCCAGATCACTTGTACTAGCCTTCAATTGTGCTGCCCCCCATCCACACCCAACTGCTGGGGGTCTGGGAAAACAGAAAATAGTGTCAGGATTAGTTCCCAGATCTGCTCTGTGATCAATGAAGCAGGAAGCGCTGTGCTCTTGGCGCTTCCTGCTTCACAGCTGTCTCCAACCAGGCTGACTTGCCAGGTAAACAGACGATCAAGAACATTCCCATGCTTGATCGTCTGTATTGGAGGCCAGAGGAGACATCAGGAGTCTAAAAGCTGCTGCTTATGGTGTGCACATGTATGTAAATGTTGATTACGCCACACATGTTGAGTATCACCATGAACATGGGAGTAAGCACAACAATTCCAGGGCCATAATTTGATATTCCCTCTAAACTGATAAGCAGTAAAGGCTTTTAGACTGCCGCATGGACAATTTTGGGTACCATAGTTTTTCACTTCTGCATGGGTGTGAGCAGTTTTAAGGATTTCCATGTTTGGTATCAATTCACAATTGTATACAGCCCCACCTCCTCAGTCTACAGCAGAGTGATCACCTCCCCTCCCTCCTCCTCAGTGTACTGCAGAGTGATCTCCCCCCCCCCCCCCCCCCCCTCTTACTCCGAC